TCACTTTATATATATATATATATATATATATATATATATATGATAACTTTACTATCCGTGTAATAGTATGCATAAATAAAACGTTAACTACTGTTTGATGCCACCGCTTTATACAGTAACAGCAAAGATTTAAAATCAAAAGTACAAAAAAAAGCTGTAGAAAGTACTCTTTAGAGTTTAAAGTATTATATTAGAAATGGAAATAATTCAAACAGATTAAATAGATACCTGCTTTTAAAGTTGTGATCTTAATGTTACTTTCCGTCAAAGATAGAACTGACCAATTGGTTTGCATTATGTAGAGCAGGGCTGCAAAGAGGGGAGTGAAGAATAAACGCAACTCAGCATGAATGATTCAGATACAAACAGCTGCATTTGAGATAGTCTGTTCATTTTCACTTGTGCTTTATGTATTTTAAGCTTCTTAAATCATTTAGCAACATCTTACTGCAAAAAAAAAAAAATTAAGTTGAAATGTTGAGCTTTATATGGGCTCTAGGGGGCAGGCTAAGACACAATGAAGAATGCGGAGCAGTGTGAGTGCATGAAATTTAAAATTTGGCCTAAAATAATGTCTGAGAATGTCCTGGTACATGACATGTCATATGCATGTCATTGCTCGTCCTTCAAACTGCTCCAATGGTGTGATACTCCACAGGGCAAAGTTGCAGATATTGTCTGGGAATCAAATCACCACAGGGACTATAATAAATTATTTGGGCGCGAAATATGTGGCTTTAGCATTAATTCTTGAATAACAGAGAAAAGCATCACCGTGTAAACCAAACCGGGTTAAAATGTTGATGCCACTGTTGTTCTGGCAGATGAGATTTTGATCTCAAGCAGTGTAGAATAATTCTCAGCAGATTACATGCATATTTATATGAAATATAAATCATTATTTGGAAAACTGCCAGTTAATAAAATTATAGAAAAGACCTAATAGTATCAATTACAACTATATTATACTACGAATCAGAAGAGTGAACATAAACAGCCACTGCTTAGAACAAGGACGTAATAAAATAAAACAAATATTTTTATTCTGTCATCATAACCCTTTCACATTTGCTGTGCTTGTCCAAAGACCGAACATCATTGAAATGTACTAAAATGTATTAAAAATTAAAAGGGTTGAACTTACAGATATAAGAGGCAAAAAAAAGCATTAAAATAAACATTCTACAGTTAATGAAAGGCCAAAGATAACAATTGGCATTTTTGGTATACAGGCAATTAAGGCAGGTGTGGATCAGTGTGCTTGTACATATTCATAGCCAAGGCACCCAAGAGATACATTCTTAAAAATGTGTCAAACTAGCCAAGCTGTGGTTTAAAAAACAGTCCATACTATCACCCCAACAGCAACTACATAGTTTTACACAGATGTAACTAATCTCAGAACATATAAGTGTAAAAAGTGTCATCAGAGGGGTGAGAATGTGATGTGGTCCAACTCCAGGTAGTCAAAATTATTCATATTTATTACCTCACTACTGACCACTCAATCATAAACCTTCTGAAAGATTATTACTGGTTATATATGGAAACAAGAAGTTCCATACTATAATATACCCAGACAAGTGGCATGATAAATATAACTTCTTGTTAAACAGGAAGTCAAGCTTGTCCAGTGCCCTCAAGTGCAGTTCACACTTTTTCACCATTACAGCTCAACAAAGTACACTGCACACTTGTGAAACACTGAATGCCTACAGTGGGTTAAATAATATCAACCTTTCGGCTTGCTTTTAAACCTTGGGTCAATGATTGTTAGCAGACGTCCTCAGTTTTTCACCCTGTTCTTAAGAGAGGCCACGATAATGCTCAAGACATCTCTTCTCCAATAACAGACTTGTGCATCAACTTAAAATCCATCTTGTGGTGGACCCAGTAACAGTGATAGAGCTCAGGCTAGTCTTTAAACCAGGCTGCCAGGCCAGGAGACCACGGTCAATGTGACTTTGTTCTTCTGCAGTTTCAGCATTGGGATCAAGGAGGAGTTATTCATGCCAACTGTAGTGACTCCATTCACAGCCACAATCTCATCGCCGCACCTGCAAGAGAGCAGGAGGGAGTCAATAAACAAAGCATTTCATTTTATAGAGGAAAACTCGCTGCACTCAAGAAAAGTTTGTGGTCAGTAAGATGTTTTTGAAAGAAGTCTCTTATGCTCACCAAGACTATTTATTTTATAAAAAATACAGTAAATCCAGTATTGTGAAATATTACAATTTATAATATATGTACTCCATTTTAATATATTATCAAATTAATTTATTCCTGTGAATAAATTATTTCCTATTTTTGAGGAAACTGACTTTTTTACAGTATTCTTTGATGAATAGAAAGTTCAAAAGAACATACTTGCATCCTTGCTAAATAAAACATTTATTTTAAATGCAACAACAAAATAGTCTTACTCACCCCAAACTTTTAACTAGTAATGCTGATAAAGAGGACAAGAGACTCACTTGAGGCGTCCATCAAAGTGAGCTGGTGTTCCAGGCACTATGGTCTTAATGAAGAAGGGCTGCTGGCCACGACTCTCCTCATATCCTCCCACAATACTGAAGCCCCAGCTCTCACTGTTGGTCTTCATCAGCATAATATCACGACACCAGTGGATGTAACTTTGGATTAAAATATATGGTCAAATTATGAATTTTGCTCATGTTTAAGCCCATATGGTCATATACTAGCCTAAAAGTTATAGAAGAGGACATCAAATTTGAATATTGCACTCAATCAATATCACAACATACCCAGTGAGAAAAAAAATTGTACCTGGGCAGGCCCAACCAGCGGGTCCAGAGAGGAGCCCAGTTAATGTCATCCTCTTTGGGTTCCTCCAGTGTGTCTATGTCTTCTCTAGTTCTGGATTCTCCATCCTGTTCCTCCTCCTCCTCAGCAAAAGTTTGGATGACTTGCAGTGTTACTGTGTTCTGAGCAGCCTGAGTCTTTAGGATGGTCACCGCCTCATTGTAGGTCAGATGGGTCAGGTCCATACCATTTATACTCAGCAATACATCACCTGGGAAACGGCAGCCATGACATCACAGTTAACTCAAGCATTGCACATGAAGCTCACAGAGAAGAGCATTTTATATGGAGCCATGACTGAGGAGAATAACCTGTTTTGATGGTGCCATCTCTGTGCAGGCAGCCCACCGGCTGCACGCTAGTGATGTAGACAGGCAAACGGCTGCGGCAGTCTCTCCCACCTGCGATGGTGATGCCTAGAGAGTGTCGAGGTTCTTTCTTCAGACTCACTGTCTTCTCTTGACTGGAGAACCCAACTGGAGGCTCCTGAATCCAGATAATGCACATTAAACAACTTGCACAACACAAATTTAGTCAATAGAAATGTTTTAATGTGGATGTAAGTAACAACAACTTTCACCAGCAGCTGAATTAAGTACAAGTATATGCACAAATAGTCATGTAAACACTGTACCAGTCAAGTTTTTTGCACAGTTGGACTAACAGGTCTAGATTTTGAAATGCGATTGCAACTTGGTATTATCTACTATGAACAATAACTTTCAAAAAAATGTTCTTAGAATTCTTTTTTATCTTTGAATGTTTTTGACTGAATGTCTCTTATGCTCACCAAATTTGTATTCATTTGATCAAAAATACAGTAAAAACTGTATTTTTTTTCTTTAAAAAATAAATTGTACTGTATCCACACTTTTGAACAGCGTACACACAGTAAACAGACTACAGCTGGCCTTGCATTGTGAGCATGCTTTGAAAAACAGAATTGATGGTTTAATCCTTCAAATATTTGATTAAGTATGGTTACAGTTGTGTCATGTATACTTAAAACACTGTACCTCAACTTACTGCAGATCCATTGTAACTGCGCATGTAAGTGTGCTTAATGATTAATGATAATTGAGTGTTCTGAAAAGGTCTGTACTTGGGGGATGGGTGAAAAGTGAAAGCTTAAGACATGTGCCTGACTCCTGCAGTGAAAACATTTGTAAAAACAAACATCCCAGATCCAGCTGCGAAGCAGAAAGATGCGTTAATGTGAGTGGCTCGGACATATTGCCATCGTAACTCATAGATTGTGGCAAAACACTCTCCTTCAGTCGTCTTCTCCCAGTCTTACTGGGGTCTCCAGACCTCCAGAGGGGGAGGGGCTGCCTCTTCCTACCCAGCAGGGTGGCCCTTCCTCCCAGCATGAGCTCAAGCTTCATCTCCACAGGTGAAAGCTAACTGTCACCAGCTTTGATCCCCAGCTACAAACAAACACAGTGGCTGCAGCAGCTCAGAGAGCAGCACCCCTGCCTTTTGATCAGGGACAAGTCCCAGTGAGAGAGGGGAGCATCTGCTTTCATCTCCCACTACCCAGCCTGTGTTTGCTGCCTCTGCCTTCAGCTGGTGAGGAAGTGTCACAAAAGCAGGGTGTGACTGGTCTCTGGGTGAAAAGTCACCTCGCGCGCACACATGCGCAGGCAGCACAACATGCAACCAAGCTTTTGCCAGTGAGTCAAACTGTAACTACAAAACACCTTTCTTTTACTTTTTGATCCCCTTTACAATACCGGGTATTGTATGACTACCTCATAATACAATAAACTACCTCATAATATGCAAAACACCCCAATACATGTTAATTTAATAAATTGCAATCAATGAAGATATCATAATTTATGACTGAAAATGTGAAATGTATGAGAAATTCATTCTGTCTCACTGATTTGCTGAATCTCTCTTGTATGGCTTTCTTCACTTTTGGCCAGTGTTGTATATATAAATTACTGTTCAGATTTAATACTTTTATTCAGCAAGGATGCATTAAATTGATCAAAAGTGACAGCAAAGACAAAAAAACAAAAAAGTCTATTTCAAATAAATGCTGTTCTTTTGAATTTTGGGCAAACATTCCTTTGAATGAAGTATCCAAAAAAAGGTATCACAATTCCACAAAAATAGTAAGCTATTTTCAACACTGATAATAATAGGGAATGTTTCTTGAGCAGCAAATCAGCATATTAGAATGATTTCTGGAGGATCATGTGACACTGAAGACTGTAATAATGTAATAATGTAATAATCACTGAAGAGTAATAATGCTGAAAATTCAGCTTTGCCATCACAGGAATAAATCACATTTTAAAATATATTAAAATCGAAAACAGTTGTAATTTTTATTTCAATTTTAGTTTGTAATAATAACAGTATTTCACAATATTATTGCTTTTACTGTATATGTGCCGTTCATACGGGACACGTCCTGGCCAGGATTTTTATATTGCCTAAAACATCCAAAGTAGTTTGACCAATAACATACAGGTATTGTATATAATCGACCAATCGTGGCGCGTGAGAAGGTGAGATCTACAGAGAACGATCAAAGCGATGCAAATACACAAGGATCCTGCTGCTCTGCTCTCTATAGCTCTCGTGAATGTCATACAATGATCGATCTGCACAGTGCAAACAGCCAAAACCTGGATATTTTAGGCAATATAGAAATCCTGGCAAGGACACGTCCCATAAAAATGGCCCGTATGGTCACCCTATTTTACTGCCTTTTTGAAGAAAAAATAAATACATTTACTGATGCCAAACGTTTGAATGGTGCATACATTTTCTCTCTCTCTCTCTCTCTCTCTCTCTATATATATATATAAATCTGCAAAAATGTCAACGATTCTGTGTTTTTCTGTCAATATGGGGTGCTGTGTGTACATTAATGAGGAAAAAAATTAACTTAAATGATTTTAGCAAATGGCTGCAATATAACAAAGAGTGAAAAATTGAAGGGGGTCTGAATACTTTCCGTACCCACTGTATATATAGAAGCAAGAAGGGGAATGGGATTGGGAGTGAGCAAAACTTAAAGTAAAGTAAGCTAAGTAAGCATAATGGTAGGCCGCAGCTATGACTATTTGTGCCTTTAAACCTGTCTACATTATGCTTTAGGGCTTATGAAGCACGCTTTTTACCTTCATGTATTCGGATCGTCGTCTGAAGTACTGCGGTTCCGGGACCCTCCTGGCCCCTCTGCTCTGCCCCTCACCACCCTCCTCAGAGAGATCAGGATGTCTCATCACTACAAAGTTCACACGCATTTCACATGCCTGCCACACACATAACAGAGAGCATAACAATCACTTACATTTACTATAAAACCTTAAATCCTATATATAAATATCTCAAATTAAAACTAACAGATTGTATTAATAGTAATTTGAGATATCCACTTTTTCTCTCTGAAGTGATTCTGTCTGTCTGTACCTGTATGATCTGAGCTGCGCTCTCTGGGGTGCCATGTCTCAGGTCCTGTCCGTTGATGCCCAGCACTTTATCATTGTTCCTTAGTTTGCCATCTTTGGCAGCCAGTCCCCCAGGCAGCAGGTCCAGGATGAAGACTCCTGGCTCCTCAGATTTACGGATGAGTTTGATGCCCAGCGGCTCAGAGCGCTCACGCTTTACCAGGGTGACCTGGATGATGGTGCCGTGGTTCTGGTTGGGATTGGGTGATTGTGACGGGGGAGAAGCTGAGGGTTGAGCGAGATGTTCAGGCCGGGGCTTGAAGCCCTTCTCCTGCATGACAGTTAGCCTGACGCGGGAACATGACTGCCGAAGCACAGCGATGGCACGAATGTGGGGGATGGATGCCAAACTGACATCATTCACCTGCAAAGATCATACTGTTAGCTTGAGGTCGCAAAGCAATAAAAGTAGCTACAGATTTTTTCTTTTGTATATCTTTTGTATTGTGTTGTACAGCCAAGTGAAACAGAATATATATATTATTATTATAAGACAGGGACTTGGTTCTGTCCATCGTTTATTGATTGGGTGGAGGCAGATCTAAATGCAAGCTTGATTGTATGAAAGGGATGGGGTTTATGTCTGGTACACGTCACCAGAGAGAAGTCTGTAGGTTCACTGGAAGATTGAGTTCTGACATTTGGATTTTAAACATTACAAGTTCAATTTTTTTAAATGCAACATGTATGGATGAATCGTTTACAATAAAATAAATAAGAAGCATTTAGAAATAGGGTGATTTTCCATTTTTGCCAACTTTATCATTTTGGTTCATTAAGCTTCATGTTTAAAAGCTAAAACAACACAAATAACAGTATATATCTAATGTTTTTGAGGAGTTTTAATGTTAAAGTCAATATTTGTACTTTCTTGGACTCAGTCTTGCCTCATAAAATTATCTCAAAATATCAACTCATGAGGGAATTCAGGTTAATGTCTAACCTTTATTTTAGATCCAACCAGTACGCTTTGTTCTCTCTAAAGAACACCATATTAAAAGATCCTAAAATAATGCTGTTATCAGGGGCAGCGCCAGATAATTTTGAACGCAGGTGCTGAGGGGGTGCTAGATCATTGACAGGGGAGCTGGGCAATTCAGGGCTCCAGACTCATTATTCCCACTGGTTGCTCTTTTGCGGCTAACTTTCTTAGGTGGACGCAGGAGCACGTGTTTTTGTTTTGCTACAACATGGGATTAATCAATGCATGCTGATGAACTTTTATCATAGTTTATAGTTATATGGAAACGAAAGTGGTTAACATTCAACCCGTTCTTTTTCATCATCAGTAGTATTATTTGTGATTTGAATTTTGTGAAGGGGAGCTCCTCTTTTGCTGTGTTAGAAGCCTGGCTTCGGATGCTTTCACTTTCGATTTCGCGATCTTGTTGTCACATTTTACAATTAAAGACCAATTCCCAATACCAACATGTTCCCCTTCTCTGGTTTAAGAAGCGGTCTTTTACTTTACTTTAGTGTGAAAACCATCCACTGTTTCCTCAATATTTGCATCATTTTTGCTGTGTGCAGCTTCGCGCTCCCGCTGATTCAGCGAGTATAAACCAGGGTCTACACCATAGACTGTAAAAGACTAAAACAAAAGATGGATTCATTGTTATTTTTAATTAAAAAGCACAACAACAATAAAACAGTCAGATACAATGACAAACTAGCTTACAAAACGTTTATTAACAAAAACGAATAAGACCAGGCATGGCATACGCCACATGCTGTATTATATAATGATTAATAAATTACAGGACGTTTAGCAAACACTGAGGAATCAAATAAAAACAACAACAAAATAAAAGAGCCTCCATAGCATAATGTGAGGTAAACAGCAAAGATAAG